CGTTGCCAGCGCTCGCCACGGTGCAGCGCACCATCTCGTTGTACCTGGTCTGAAGAACACATGCAAAAATCAGTTGCAGAAATCAGATGCAGGCCTGACCTCAAAAGAACGGACATGCTCCGAATCTGTGAGGAGGAGTAAGAGGGAGAGTGCAAGGGAGAGTGAGAGAGGGAGAGGGAGAGGGAGAGGGAGAGGGAGAGGGAGAGGGAGAAGTGCAGAGTGCAGATTGCCAGATGTGGAGAGCTGAGCGGAGATGGGAGATTGGGGGGCTGAGAGAACCCTTCGCATTCTCTCAGAGCCCAATTCTACGAACTCGCATGTTGCCCAAGAGCAACCGAGGTGCTGCGCCAGGCCGTAGGACAGGCAGGCAATGGCCGTCACGTACAGCTTCGCACCAGCCTCGTTCTTGCCCGGGTAGAAGAAGTTCAAGCCGGTGTCGGTGCCGATGGACCAGTTGGCGTGCTTTCCGCTGCCGTTGATGCCGGCAAAGGGCTTCTCGTGGAAGAGCACCTGCAGACCCAGCTTGGCGGCTTCCCGGTTCATCACCTCCATGAAGCAGACGTTGCTGTCGCACGACACGTTGGCGGTACGGAAGACGGGGGACATCTCATGTTGTCCCGGTGCCACCTCGTTGTGCTTCACAGCCATTGGGCACCCGATCTTCAGCATCTCAGCCTGGACAACGTCCAGCAGCTTCTGCACGCTGCCGGGGATCGCCTGGAAGTAGTTCAGGTCTCCTTGCTGATGGCGGGTAGGCAACTTGCCGAACAGCGTGCGGCCGGTGTTCACCAAGTCCGGCCGGGCCTTGAAGTGCTCGGCACTGAGCACGAAGAACTCCTGCTCCCATCCCAAGTAGCTGAACATGCACTTTGCATCGGTTCCGATTCCAATGTTCTTCAAGAGGCGCAGGCCGTGGAGGGTCACCGCATCCATCGATCGCAAGAGAGGCGTCTTCTCATCGATGCATTTTCCGAAGTGCGTGACGAAGGCACACGGAATGTACAGGCAAGCATCCATCACGAATGGAGGGGAAGAGCGGTCCCAGGTGGTGAAGGCGGCTGCGGAGTGGGTCACTCGCAGGCCTCCATTCGGGAAGGAGGAGCCATCCGTCTCACCCTGGAAGAGGCGCTCCGCTGGCAAGCAGGCCTTCATCGGCTTGGTGATGTACTTGGAACCGAACTCCAGGTCCATGAGGGTGTCTTTCTTGAAGGCTCCAAGCATGCCGCCGACGGCGCCACCTCCGCCACGCAGGGGGAAGAACCAGTGGGCGAAGTCGATGGCACCGCGCTCGCGAGCCCATGCGAACATGGTGTCGGCGATAATCTTCATGTCGTCCTCCGGGGTTGGGGCCCCGCTGACCAGGCACTCGTTGAAGCGCTGCACGACGGCTGCAGGGAGCTTCGCTGCCATGACGGCGTCGTCGAACATGCAGGTGCCCATCGTGGTGATCGCGTCGGAGGCCATGGCTCAAAATGCGGGTGTGATGACCAGCCTTGCCGTGTACTTCGAGCCGAGATGACTGCCATGGGTCAGAGTGTGTCCGAATCTGACAACCACCATGTAGCGACAGAATGTGGCAGAGTGCAAGTCCAAAGCATGCAAAAGCAACATCCATCATGTTGAGTGCCAATGCTGCGCCAAGTGACCAAGGAAGGCCAGCACCCCCGGCAACATCCATGATGCTCCTGAGCAAGGGGAAGAGAAAACTAGAATGGACAGACCTTCTATTCTTCAGTTCCGATCTAGACTGAGTACCAAGCACAAGGAAGGACACACACACACACACACAGACAGACACGCAACTTCCACGACCCGTTTGCACGCAGCATGGTGATACCTGGGTCCTACGTTGTCCTACGTGCTCCACACAAAACATTAAACCATGTGACTCTCCAAGTCACCAAATCAAAATTTGAGATTGCCTCGCGTCAGCCTCGCGACAGCAAGAGCCGTCATGGCAAGGGTGTACGAAGTACAAAGTCACTAAGTGCAATGCACCGGAATTTGCCGGAAAAAGTCTGGCGTACAAGCGGAGTACGTTGCCTCCGGCTCAGAAGTGATGGGAGTAGATCATGGCCTCGTAGGTGGGGTAAGGGTAGAGAGAGGACTCCATGAGGCTCTCTGCCTTGTCCACCTTGGCCCGGAGGGCAACCATCTGAGGCTTCACGGTGTCGCACAGGTAAGTGGCCTCGTCCGCCAGAGAGGTGTGGGGCTTCGCGGCGATGAGCGACTTCAGCTTCTCCAGCTCGTCCACGATGCTCTCGTACACCGCCTTGCGGCCGCCTGCGAGCTTGTCGAAGCCCTTGAACTTCTCCAGGTCCTTGGCGCATGCTGGCATGTAGCCAGTCTCCACCATCTGGATCATGGTCTCAACCTCGCAGCACATGCAGGAGATGTAGTTCTCGTACATCACTTCCTGTCGTGCCTCGGTCTCCTCCTTGGTGTAGATCTTCAGCGTCTCAAGGAGCTTGGTGTTCTTCTCGGAGCTCCAGGTAGCCACTGCCTTGGGCGTGGTGTTCAGGTTCGGCAATCCTCGCTTGCTTGCCTCAACCGGCCACTCTGCCGAGTAGCCGTTTCCGGTGAAGATGACGTGCTTGTTCTCGGAGTAGAGCTTTGCCACGGCATCGCGATGGCTCATGCCACCCTCAATCAGGCTGGACAGGTGCGCCATGCCCGCAGACATGATCGCATTGCAGACCATGATGGGCAAGCAGCAATTCTGGGAGGAGCCGACGGCACGGAACTCGAAGCGGTTGCCGCAGAAGGGGAACGGGGCCGTGCGATTGCGGTCCTCGACGTTGGCCTCGATGTGCATGGCAGCGCTGCAGCCCGTCGACTGCTTCTTCTTCTCGGCCTTGTAACCCAGGAGATCGCCGCCGGAGCAGATGCTCTCGACGAATGCCTCGAATCCCTGACCGGGATACAAGGAGATGATGGCAGGAGGAGCCTCCTGTGCGCCCAGTCGGTGGTCGTTGCCAGCGCTCGCCACGGTGCAGCGCACCATCTCGTTGTACCTGGTCTGAGGAACATATGCAAACTCAGCTGCAGCAATCAGATGCAGGCCTGACCTCAAAAGACATTCTGCCAGGCATCCGAATGCTCCAAGGCTGTGAGAAGGTGTGAGAGGGAGATGGAGAAGTACAGAGTGTAGAGTGCGGAGTGGAGGGTGGACAGCTGGGAGTGGAGATGGGAGGTTGGAGGGCAAAGAGAATCCTTCGCATTCTCTCGGAGCCCAATTCTACTGACTCGCAAGTATTCGCATGTTGCCCAAGAGCAACCGAGGTGCTGCGCCAGGCCGTAGGACAGGCAGGCAATGGCCGTCACGTACAGCTTCGCACCAGCCTCGTTCTTGCCCGGGTAGAAGAAGTTCAAGCCGGTGTCGGTGCCGATGGACCAGTTGGCGTGCTTTCCGCTGCCGTTGATGCCGGCAAAGGGCTTCTCGTGGAAGAGCACCTGCAGACCCAGCTTGGCGGCTTCCCGGTTCATCACCTCCATGAAGCAGACGTTGCTGTCGCACGACACGTTGGCGGCACGGAAGACGGGGGACATCTCATGTTGTCCCGGTGCCACCTCGTTGTGCTTCACAGCCATTGGGCACCCGATCTTCAGCATCTCAGCCTGGACAACGTCCAGCAGCTTCTGCACGCTGCCGGGGATCGCCTGGAAGTAGTTCAGGTCTCCTTGCTGATGGCGGGTAGGCAACTTGCCGAACAGCGTGCGGCCGGTGTTCACCAAGTCCGGCCGGGCCTTGAAGTGCTCGGCACTGAGCACGAAGAACTCCTGCTCCCATCCCAAGTAGCTGAACATGCACTTTGCATCGGTTCCGATTCCAATGTTCTTCAAGAGGCGCAGGCCGTGGAGGGTCACCGCATCCATCGATCGCAAGAGAGGCGTCTTCTCATCGATGCATTTTCCGAAGTGCGTGACGAAGGCACACGGAATGTACAGGCAAGCATCCATCACGAATGGAGGGGAAGAGCGGTCCCAGGTGGTGAAGGCGGCTGCGGAGTGGGTCACTCGCAGGCCTCCATTCGGGAAGGAGGAGCCATCCGTCTCACCCTGGAAGAGGCGCTCCGCTGGCAAGCAGGCCTTCATCGGCTTGGTGATGTACTTGGAACCGAACTCCAGGTCCATGAGGGTGTCTTTCTTGAAGGCTCCAAGCATGCCGCCGACGGCGCCACCTCCGCCACGCAGGGGGAAGAACCAGTGGGCGAAGTCGATGGCACCGCGCTCGCGAGCCCATGCGAACATGGTGTCGGCGATAATCTTCATGTCGTCCTCTGGGGTTGGGGCCCCGCTGACCAGGCACTCGTTGAAGCGCTGCACGACGGCTGCAGGGAGCTTCGCTGCCATGACGGCGTCGTCGAACATGCAGGTGCCCATCGTGGTGATCGCGTCGGAGGCCATGGCTCAAAATGCGGGTGTGATGACCAGCCTTGCCGTGTACTTCGAGCCGAGATGACTGCCATGGGTCAGAGTGTGTCCGAATCTGACAACCACCATGTAGCGACAGAATGTGGCAGAGTGCAAGTCCAAAGCATGCAAAAGCAACATCCATCATGTTGAGTGCCAATGCTGCGCCAAGTGACCAAGGAAGGCCAGCACCCCCGGCAACATCCATGATGCTCCTGAGCAAGGGGAAGAGAAAACTAGAATGGACAGACCTTCTATTCTTCAGTTCCGATCTAGACTGAGTACCAAGCACAAGGAAGGACACACACACACACACAGACAGACACGCAACTTCCACGACCCGTTTGCACGCAGCATGGTGATACCTGGGTCCTACGTTGTCCTACGTGCTCCACACAAAACATTAAACCATGTGACTCTCCAAGTCACCAAATCAAAATTTGAGATTGCCTCGCGTCAGCCTCGCGACAGCAAGAGCCGTCATGGCAAGGGTGTACGAAGTACAAAGTCACTAAGTGCAATGCACCGGAATTTGCCGGAAAAAGTCTGGCGTACAAGCGGAGTACGTTGCCTCCGGCTCAGAAGTGATGGGAGTAGATCATGGCCTCGTAGGTGGGGTAAGGGTAGAGAGAGGACTCCATGAGGCTCTCTGCCTTGTCCACCTTGGCCCGGAGGGCAACCATCTGAGGCTTCACGGTGTCGCACAGGTAAGTGGCCTCGTCCGCCAGAGAGGTGTGGGGCTTCGCGGCGATGAGCGACTTCAGCTTCTCCAGCTCGTCCACGATGCTCTCGTACACCGCCTTGCGGCCGCCTGCGAGCTTGTCGAAGCCCTTGAACTTCTCCAGGTCCTTGGCACATGCTGGCATGTAGCCAGTCTCCACCATCTGGATCATGGTCTCAACCTCGCAACACATGCAGGAGATGTAGTTCTCGTACATCACTTCCTGTCGTGCCTCGGTCTCCTCCTTGGTGTAGATCTTCAGCGTCTCAAGGAGCTTGGTGTTCTTCTCGGAGCTCCAGGTAGCCACTGCCTTGGGCGTGGTGTTCAGGTTCGGCAATCCTCGCTTGCTTGCCTCAACCGGCCACTCTGCCGAGTAGCCGTTTCCGGTGAAGATGACGTGCTTGTTCTCGGAGTAGAGCTTTGCCACGGCATCGCGATGGCTCATGCCACCCTCAATCAGGCTGGACAGGTGCGCCATGCCCGCAGACATGATCGCATTGCAGACCATGATGGGCAAGCAGCAATTCTGGGAGGAGCCGACGGCACGGAACTCGAAGCGGTTGCCGCAGAAGGGGAACGGGGCCGTGCGATTGCGGTCCTCGACGTTGGCCTCGATGTGCATGGCAGCGCTGCAGCCCGTCGACTGCTTCTTCTTCTCGGCCTTGTAACCCAGGAGATCGCCGCCGGAGCAGATGCTCTCGACGAATGCCTCGAATCCCTGACCGGGATACAAGGAGATGATGGCAGGAGGAGCCTCCTGTGCGCCCAGTCGGTGGTCGTTGCCAGCGCTCGCCACGGTGCAGCGCACCATCTCGTTGTACCTGGTCTGAGGAACACATGCAAAAATCAGTTGCAGCAATCAGATGCAGGCCTGACCTCAAAAGAACGGACATGCTCCGAATCTGTGAGGAGGAGTAAGAGGGAGAGTGCAAGGGAGAGTGAGAGAGGGAGAGGGAGAGGGAGAGGGAGAGGGAGAGGGAGAGGGAGAAGTGCAGAGTGCAGATTGCCAGATGTGGAGAGCTGAGCGGAGATGGGAGATTGGGGGGCTGAGAGAACCCTTCGCATTCTCTCAGAGCCCAATTCTACGAACTCGCATGTTGCCCAAGAGCAACCGAGGTGCTGCGCCAGGCCGTAGGACAGGCAGGCAATGGCCGTCACGTACAGCTTCGCACCAGCCTCGTTCTTGCCCGGGTAGAAGAAGTTCAACCCGGTGTCGGTGCCGATGGACCAGTTGGCGTGCTTTCCGCTGCCGTTGATGCCGGCAAAGGGCTTCTCGTGGAAGAGCACCTGCAGACCCAGCTTGGCGGCTTCCCGGTTCATCACCTCCATGAAGCAGACGTTGCTGTCGCACGACACGTTGGCGGCACGGAAGACGGGGGACATCTCATGTTGTCCCGGTGCCACCTCGTTGTGCTTCACAGCCATTGGGCACCCGATCTTCAGCATCTCAGCCTGGACAACGTCCAGCAGCTTCTGCACGCTGCCGGGGATCGCCTGGAAGTAGTTCAGGTCTCCTTGCTGATGGCGGGTAGGCAACTTGCCGAACAGCGTGCGGCCGGTGTTCACCAAGTCCGGCCGGGCCTTGAAGTGCTCGGCACTGAGCACGAAGAACTCCTGCTCCCATCCCAAGTAGCTGAACATGCACTTTGCATCGGTTCCGATTCCAATGTTCTTCAAGAGGCGCAGGCCGTGGAGGGTCACCGCATCCATCGATCGCAAGAGAGGCGTCTTCTCATCGATGCATTTTCCAAAGTGCGTGACGAAGGCACACGGAATGTACAGGCAAGCATCCATCACGAATGGAGGGGAAGAGCGGTCCCAGGTGGTGAAGGCGGCTGCGGAGTGGGTCACTCGCAGGCCTCCATTCGGGAAGGAGGAGCCATCCGTCTCACCCTGGAAGAGGCGCTCCGCTGGCAAGCAGGCCTTCATGGGCTTGGTGATGTACTTGGAACCGAACTCCAGGTCCATGAGGGTGTCTTTCTTGAAGGCTCCGAGCATGCCGCCGACGGCGCCACCTCCGCCACGCAGGGGGAAGAACCAGTGGGCGAAGTCGATGGCACCGCGCTCGCGAGCCCATGCGAACATGGTGTCGGCGATAATCTTCATGTCGTCCTCCGGGGTTGGGGCCCCGCTGACCAGGCACTCGTTGAAGCGCTGCACGACGGCTGCAGGGAGCTTCGCTGCCATGACGGCGTCGTCGAACATGCAGGTGCCCATCGTGGTGATCGCGTCGGAGGCCATGGCTCAAAATGCGGGTGTGATGACCAGCCTTGCCGTGTACTTCGAGCCGAGATGACTGCCACGTGTCATAGTCATGCGTGTCCTCTTCTCTGTCTGATGAGCACTCTCCTTTGTCACCTGAGCACCTGCACCTCGGCCGACCCCTGGTCCTTTGCATCCAGAGAGCCGAAATCTCACAAACCTTCCCCCAGCCAATACAAAGATCCCAACACTCTTCGCACGCCACTTTTGCCACAGCACGGCAGGTGCCTACAGTGTCCTACGCTCTCCACACAAGACCTTAAACAATGTGACTCTCCAAGTCACCAAATCAAAATTTGGAGATTGCCTTGCGACGGCAAAGCTGTCATGGCAAGGGTGAATCAGATGCTAAACTAAAAGTGTTGAGTACGTTGCCTCCGGCTCAGAAGTGATGGGAGTAGATCATGGCCTCGTAGGTGGGGTAAGGATAAAGAGAGGACTCCATGAGGCTCTCTGCCTTGTCCACCTTGGCCCGGAGGGCAACCATCTGAGGCTTCACGGTGTCGCACAGGTAAGTGGCCTCGTCCGCCAGAGAGGTGTGGGGCTTCGCGGCGATGAGCGACTTCAGCTTCTCCAGCTCGTCCACGATGCTCTCGTACACCGCCTTGCGGCCGCCTGCGAGCTTGTCGAAGCCCTTGAACTTCTCCAGGTCCTTGGCGCATGCTGGCATGTAGCCAGTCTCCACCATCTGGATCATGGTCTCAACCTCGCAGCACATGCAGGAGATGTAGTTCTCGTACATCACTTCCTGTCGTGCCTCGGTCTCCTCCTTGGTGTAGATCTTCAGCGTCTCAAGGAGCTTGGTGTTCTTCTCGGAGCTCCAGGTAGCCACTGCCTTGGGCGTGGTGTTCAGGTTCGGCAATCCTCGCTTGCTTGCCTCAACCGGCCACTCTGCCGAGTAGCCGTTTCCGGTGAAGATGACGTGCTTGTTCTCGGAGTAGAGCTTTGCCACGGCATCGCGATGGCTCATGCCACCCTCAATCAGGCTGGACAGGTGCGCCATGCCCGCAGACATGATCGCATTGCAGACCATGATGGGCAAGCAGCAATTCTGGGAGGAGCCGACGGCACGGAACTCGAAGCGGTTGCCGCAGAAGGGGAACGGGGCCGTGCGATTGCGGTCCTCGACGTTGGCCTCGATGTGCATGGCAGCGCTGCAGCCCGTCGACTGCTTCTTCTTCTCGGCCTTGTAACCCAGGAGATCGCCGCCGGAGCAGATGCTCTCGACGAATGCCTCGAATCCCTGACCGGGATACAAGGAGATGATGGCAGGAGGAGCCTCCTGTGCGCCCAGTCGGTGGTCGTTGCCAGCGCTCGCCACGGTGCAGCGCACCATCTCGTTGTACCTGGTCTGAGGAACAGATGCAAAAATCAGCTGCAGCAATCAGATGCAGGCCTGACCTCAAAAGAACGGACATGCTCCGAATCTGTGAGGAGGAGTAAGAGGGAGAGTGCAGGGAGAGTGAGAGAGGGAGAGGGAGAGGGAGAGGGAGAGGGAGAGGGAGAGGGAGAGGGAGAGGGAGAGGGAGAAGTGCAGAGTGCAGATTGCCAGATGTGGAGAGCTGAGCGGAGATGGGAGATTGGGGGGCTGAGAGAACCCTTCGCATTCTCTCAGAGCCCAATTCTACGAACTCGCATGTTGCCCAAGAGCAACCGAGGTGCTGCGCCAGGCCGTAGGACAGGCAGGCAATGGCCGTCACGTACAGCTTCGCACCAGCCTCGTTCTTGCCCGGGTAGAAGAAGTTCAAGCCGGTGTCGGTGCCGATGGACCAGTTGGCGTGCTTTCCGCTGCCGTTGATGCCGGCAAAGGGCTTCTCGTGGAAGAGCACCTGCAGACCCAGCTTGGCGGCTTCCCGGTTCATCACCTCCATGAAGCAGACGTTGCTGTCGCACGACACGTTGGCGGCACGGAAGACGGGGGACATCTCATGTTGTCCCGGTGCCACCTCGTTGTGCTTCACAGCCATTGGGCACCCGATCTTCAGCATCTCAGCCTGGACAACGTCCAGCAGCTTCTGCACGCTGCCGGGGATCGCCTGGAAGTAGTTCAGGTCTCCTTGCTGATGGCGGGTAGGCAACTTGCCGAACAGCGTGCGGCCGGTGTTCACCAAGTCCGGCCGGGCCTTGAAGTGCTCGGCACTGAGCACGAAGAACTCCTGCTCCCATCCCAAGTAGCTGAACATGCACTTTGCATCGGTTCCGATTCCGATGTTCTTCAAGAGGCGCAGGCCATGGAGGGTCACCGCATCCATCGATCGCAAGAGAGGCGTCTTCTCATCGATGCATTTTCCAAAGTGCGTGACGAAGGCACACGGAATGTACAGGCAAGCATCCATCACGAATGGAGGAGAAGAGCGGTCCCAGGTGGTGAAGGCGGCTGCGGAGTGGGTCACTCGCAGGCCTCCATTCGGGAAGGAGGAGCCATCCGTCTCGCCCTGGAAGAGGCGCTCCGCTGGCAAGCAGGCCTTCATGGGCTTGGTGATGTACTTGGAACCGAACTCCAGGTCCATGAGGGTGTCCTTCTTGAAGGCTCCGAGCATGCCGCCGACGGCGCCACCTCCGCCACGCAGGGGGAAGAACCAGTGGGCGAAGTCGATGGCACCG